TGACATCAGCTCCTTCCTATTTTCCTCTTGTCTCTCCTCAATTTTTTAATTATCTCTATTAATGTCTTGATGTCTGGGTTTGTTTCATGTGACCAGTCATTCTGGGAGTTCTTCATTGTTTGTGTTCCGAAGTCTGTTTTCTCAGTGTCTGACCTCCCAGGGGTCTGTGTGAGACCTATATTCTTCTTTTGGTTTTTCTTCATTTGTACGTTTCTTTTTTTCCTTTCCCTACTTTTTCCTTCCCTCCACATCACTGTCTTCTTTAATTCTGTTATTCAGGGGTGGAGAGGTTGTTTTTACTTCTGTTTGTTCAATCTCTTATTTTTCTTTATGTATGTCCTCTTACTTTGTTCAATTCTGGAGTTGCACTGTAGATTGGGGGTGGTTCTTTTTGCAGTTTTGAGATTTACTTAAGGGGGGAGCTGTGATTCAAAATGTATCTGCAGGTCCTGGTATCCGCCAACAGGTGTATGAATAATCTGAAACCCACTTCCTACTGCCTTGGAATCGGTCTGTGCAGTGGGGTTGTAGGTTTACTCCCTGAAATAAAATGCGGTTAACAGAGGGAAGAGAATGGAGCAGACAGTGGGGGGAAGAAGGAGGTGGAGAGAGAGAGGAGTAAGGGTGAGAATAGACGAGTGTACCAACAAATGGAGAGAGAGACAAAAATTGAAACATATAAAAATAATAGACCATGGCTACAAACTAACCAACTCCCATACAAAAAAACCTAAAACATACAATGTTGCTAATATACAAGCTTATCAACCTCCTATTGGTATGCTATTCCTCTATACAAAGATATGGTTTACAGAGAGAAGAAAGAAAAAGAAGGGAAAAGAAGGAGAAAAGAAAAAAAGGGGGGGAGAACAAAACAGAAGGAATAGAATCAAGTCAGTAGACTAACAGAACCAATCAAGCTCACTCTGAGACTTTTCGTTAAGTTCACTGTCCTTTCAGCTCTGATATCTAGCTGTCTTTTCAGGCTGGTAAGTTTGTCCACAGTTAGGATCAATTGCCCCTGACCTGCTGTGAAGGGCAGTTCAGATCATCACTCAGTTCACCACTGCCCCGTTCACCATTCAGATCTGGCCTGTGTCTGTCAGGCTTCCATTTTTCCCCCTTTTGGTGTTGTTACCTTGGTTCGCCAGCAGGTGGTATTATTCCTCACTTCAGATGGTCTTTATCTCAGCTGCTCACCTGCCCCTAAGGGGAGGGAGATGTTGCCTCAAGGCACACAGGAGGAGACTCATGGCCTGGCAGGATGTCACGGTGGTAGTAGACCTCAGCAGATCTTGCTCGCAGGAGCTTCAAAGTCGTGGATTGCCTCAGGCGCGGGCCCTGTGATGTGGAATGGCTGCCTTGGCGGCGGTGGCGGCAGTAATAGCAGCGGCAGCGGCAGCTCACCTTAGGCACAGGGGGTGCGATGTGTAATGGCTGCCTTGGAGGGAGTGGCAGCGGTGGTGGTGGCGTGGCCGCGGCTGCCGCTCGCCTCAGGCACTGGTGGTGCGATGTGGAATGGCTGCCAGCTGCAGTGGCAGCGGCAGCAGTGGCAGCCACAGTAGCTGCCCAGACCCGGTGATGCCTCAGCAAAGTCTACGGCCGAGCTCCGTGTGAAGAGCAGCTGTGTGAAGAGCAGGCTGCCGATGATGGGGTCTGCAGCCTCCAGGGAGAGAACCAGAGTCTCTGTGTTCTCCTCTGTGGAGAGTCTCACAGACCGAGCTGCCCTATCACCATCTTCTTGGAAGTCTAAAGAGTGAATTGTTCTGTTTCCATGTAGTGGTATAGTTCAGTTTCCATCTTAGTGTTGATTTCTAATTTTATTCCATTGTGATCTGAGAAGATGCTTGATATATTTGATTTTCTAAATTTATTGAGACTTACTTTATGGACAAGCATATGGTCTTTTGAAGAATGTTCCATGTGTAGATGAGTAGATGGATATTCTGCAGTTGTTGAGTGGAAAGTTCTGTAGATGTATGTTAGGTCCATTTGGTCTATAGTCCAGTTTTGTTGTTGTTGTTAATTTTTGGCTTCAGTGATCTGGCTAGTGATTTAAGTGGAGTGCTGAAATCACCCACTATTATGGGATTGGTATTGATATGTTTTCTAAGGTTAAGCAGTATTTGCTTCAGGTATTTGGGTTCTCTGGTGTTTCGTGCATATATGTTTAAAATGGTTGTCTTTTTGAATTGCACCGTTTATCATTATATAATGCCTTTCTTTGTCTTTTTTTTAACTGTTTTTCGTTTAAATTCAGAGCCATCTGATCTGAGGATGGCTGCTCCTGCTCATTTTTGTTGTCCATTTGCCTGATATATCTTTTTCCACCCACGTACTTTTTTTTTCTGTGACTGTCTTTGGCCAGTAGGTGGGTCTCTTTTAGGCAGCAAATGGTTGAGTCTTGTGTTTTGTTTAGTTTCTTTTTCTTTTTTTGTAAATCAAATAATCACGTTCAAATTTATTTTCTATGTATATCCAAATTTTTAAGCGTTAGATTTATTTATAATTCACCACTATTATCATTATACAATTGTATAGAATTAACGGTTGAAATTCAGTTGTTCCAAGTGGATGCTATTCTAGTATTTCATATTCAACTTGAACAGTTAGAAATGTGTATGTTGCATATAATTATTTTATTTTGATAAAAATATTACAATTACTCCATTGGATAATAAAATGCAATTGCATATTTGCTTAAGTAGCAAAAGGGCTAAGAGATGATTTGGTCTATTATCAAAGGAACATAAGTTTAAATCTGTAGAAAGATAAATATTTCCCCAACAAAAGGCTAAACGTTCTCAAACATTTTATATACATAAATAATACATTATTTCCATTTAACATGTTTTTGCTTTAGTGCTAAACATGCCACAACAAATTTGATAATATTAAAGTCAGTGTTTTCTAGACATGAGTTCTATAGTACCACCTAGGTGGTATTTCTTTAGAATGATGCAAAATTCTCAGAACACGGCATACAAGGGTGCAGGAAGAGATACACTTGCCAATACTGACACAGTTAATTAACAGGCAGACGCTGGAAAGAAGGAAGTTACCAAGTAAGAGGGAAGTTTATGTCACTAAGCACAGCGACAGAGGGAACAGCAGTGTGGAGGTAAGACAAAGAAGGGCTAGGCACATGGAGTTATGTTTGCTGAGGCTGTCAGGACTTTTGTTTTTCCAATGTTCTGAGACAAATGCCAGCAAGACTTCTGGTTTGAGTCAAGCCTTTCAACTGAGGTGCTAGGTGTACTTCGGGAAAAAACACTCATTTTAAAAAGATTTAGATTTAGTTTTGCTGGATATCAAGCTAGATAATAACCAGCTGAGGGACTAAAACCAACACAGAAATAAAAATGCTTGCTTCTAGTAAATAAATGTACACCAAACAGATTTTGCTTATTTATGGTACAGGAAAGGAGTGAAACTGAGGCTCTTTAAAAAAGCTAAAGGGTCCAAGTATAGTGGCTCATGCTTGTAATTCCAGTACTTTGGATACTGAGGTGGGAGGACTGCTTGAGCCCAGGAGATCAACTTGATCTACTTTGATCTACTTGAGAAAGATTGAATTATGAGATTTCACTGTGAAATGGTTCTCACTAATGCAGAAGTACTTGATATTATAAGGATCTCAGAATCTTTGGACTACACAAATGTTTTCTACAAGGGCAATGCCTTATACTTCCCAGAATTTAGAAGTGACATCCAATGGATGGAAGGTAGCCTTTTCCCCTGACTGTGGTTGGAACGGTGGCAACAGGTAATTTATTCTACCAATCTGATCAAGAACTCCTCATGTGGCTTCTCCATTGTACTAGACTGTGCATATGTGTGTATGTGGAGAAGACAGAAGAGGTTCTCTCCGTGCCACTGTTTCTAAAACGCTTATACTTGCCTATGTGCCAGTCATTTAAATTAGATGAGAATAAGCTTCTCCAAAATAACTCCAGTTGTACCTAGAATGCATTTGTTTTAAATACAGAGGTAAGATATATATGAGAATGTCTTTAACAACAAAACAAATCAATCTAGATGCTGCCAGGCATAACAGTTCTCTAATTTTGAAAGTCTACTCTCTGACCTGGGCACGGACACATACGTATTCAACGACGTAAGTTTCATTTATAAAAAGTATATACACTATTTGGACATTTAGGTATCCCACAGAAGGAAAGCTGAGAGAATCCCTTGTATAAAAAGCAGATGAAGACCAGAAGAAAGCAGATGCTGTCCCACAAACTCAAGCAGAGTTCCACCCTGAGGATCAGTAAGTTTTCTAGGTAGGTAACACCATAAGCAGAGTATTATTACAGTTCTCAAATCATGAGGGAAAGGAAGATGAAGGGAGGGTGGGGAATTGTGCATTCTAGGAGGTAAAAGACAGTCCCCATTATAAGTACAATGTTCCAATAGGCAATAGCATTTTCTAGCCGGAAGGCACATTAAAAACAACCACAGTCATAATTTACTAAGACAATGGAAACCAAGTTAATAAAAGACCTCCCTTAGGTGTAGAAATGACTGTCTTATTAACATAACCACCAAAGACAGTTGAAATATACTCTGGTACTGGGACCAGCTGATGTGGAGGGTTGGGCCACTGGAAGAGGGTCTGGAGCTCTTGATTCTGTTTCAATGATTCTTCAGCACTCATTAAAGTCACTGTGCCCTCTCCATAGACCCCTGAATCCTCTAAGTGACAACAGATGTAAAACTGTGGAGAATTACACGTTTACTCTTGGAATGCACCACAGATTATGTCAGGCTCACTAGTTCAGCTGCGTGGAGTCTTCAATGCGCTGTCTACCACTCAGTTACAAAGTCAACTACACAGAAAAGGTGGAAGGAACGATTATGGAATTCCTGACATCTTTACCTAGGTTATTTGCCCATAATTCACACAAAAATAAAATACATTAAGTCAAAATCAGGGTTAAAATTTTAAACAAAAAAAGGGACAAAAATCTGATATTCTTAAAGCAAAACAATAGAAATCTCTTTAAATAGATACTTTATTATATCCACAGGAGATAAAATCCCAGAGCTACTGTTAGGCACGTAAATATAGATCCTACTAAATATTTAATATTATCTAGCTTGTGTGACTCAAGCATGGTTTTGAGGCCAGCAACCTCAGTTTCTATCTTTCTATCTGTCTGGGTGAGGGCCCTGTCTTGCTGGGCATGCAATGCCATTATTTCTGTTCTCAGTTCTAGCAGTTTCCTTTCATTTAGTGAATACAATTATTTTACTCTGCTTTTTTCTAGATTGAAGTCCAATTTGGTATCTGTTTGGACTTTGATCACTTCATCCATTACTGGTTGTTTTAACTGATGTAGTTCGAGTTTTATTTTCTCATTTTTTGCTCTGAGGGCTGAAAATTCACTCTTCTCCAAGATAATCATATCCTTTTTCACATTAGCAATCTGACACATTATTTGCTGAAGTGTGATCTCCTGCTGCATCTTGGTGACCATGTCTTTGTAGACAATATCCATGTTGGCCTCCATGATCTTGACCAATGCAGACACAATGATTTCTTCTTGTTGAGCAGTAAACCCATTGTCCTCGAATAAGTACACTAAGGCGTGAGTGTCAAAGTACAGCTTCCTATTCCCAGAAGAGGTGAAATCTCTTCTGCGCTCTAACTGGAGGAGCCCAGCAGACAGACTTAGTTCTTTTCTGTAGGAAGTGAGGGCGGCCGCCAGGCTGTGGCACAGGTGAAGGTGACAGGCACTGGCGGTTCCGGAAGCGCCCAGGATGAGGCCCAGCAGACACCTCCACGTGCCACTGTGCCCGGCTGGGGAGGTGACGGCCGGGCTGCGAGCTCTCCCAGTCCCCGAGCCTTGTTTCATTTTTTAAACCCATTGTGCCACTCTGATTCTTTTAAGTGGGGGCAATTAGATAATTTACATTCAGGATTAATATTGATATGTGAGGTTTGCTTTATAGACTCTGTGCACTTTGTACTTATGTGATTTTTTTGTGACAGTGAGAGCTGTCATTTCATTTCCAAGTTTAGAACTCCTTTGAGCATCTCTTGTAGAGACAGTTTAGTGGTGACAGATTCCTTTAGTGTTTGTTTGTTTGGGAAGGGCTTGATTTTTCCTTCATTTATAAAGCTTAGTTTGGCTGGATATAAAATTTTTGGTTGTCATTTTTTTCTTTAAGGAGGTTGAAAATAGCCCCCATTCTTTTCTGGCTTGTAGGGTTCCTGCTGAGAAGTCTGATGCTAGTCTAGTGTTCTTTTCTTTATAAGTGATTTGGCACTTCTCTCTTGCTGCTCTTGGGATATTTTCTTTCATGTTGGCTTTGGAGAATCTGACATTGATGTATCTAGGTAAGGTTTTTCTTGTGTCTTACAGAAGTTATTTGGGCTTCTTGTATCTGGATGTCTAGTTTTCTCTCAAGACCAGGGAAGTTTTTTTGAATTACTTCCTCAAATATATTTTCCATACTTTTTCCTTTAACTTCCTCTCCCTCTGGAATGTCTATGATTCATAGGTTTGGTCACTTTACACAGCACCATATTTCTTATAGGCTTTGTTCATTCTTCTTGATTCTTTTTTATATCTGTCTGACTGGGTTAGTTCAAAAAGTATGTCTTCCATCTCTGAGATTCTTTTTCTTCATTTGTTCTAGCCTACTGCTATAACTTTGAACTGTGTTTTGTATTTCCACCATTTAGTTTTTTAGTTTTCTCTCTCTCTCTCTCTCTCTCTCTCTCTCTCTCTCTCTCTCTCTCTCTGTGTGTGTGTGTGTGTGTGTGTGTGTGTTAAGTTGGAATCTCATTATTTCACCTAGGTTGGAGTGCAATGGCATGTTCATGACCACTGCAGCTTTGACCTACTGTGCTCAGGTGATCCTCTGGCCTCAGCCTTCCAAATAGCTGGAATTACAAGCTTGCACCACCATGCTCAACTATTTATTTATTTATTTATTTATTTATTTATTTAAGTTGAGGCCTCACCAAGTTGCCCAGGCTGATTTGAACCCCTGAGCTCAGGCAGTCCTCTCACCTCCACCTCCCAAAGTATTAAACAGGCGTGAGCCACTGTGCCCAGCTATTTGGGTTTTTTAAGTATTCAAGCTTTCCTTTCACCTCCTGAATTGTTCTGCTAATTTCTTCCTGCTGGTTATCAGCTTTATCTTGCATCTCATTGAGCTTCTTTATAATCAACATTCTGAATTACTTGTCTGATATTTCAGGGATTTCTTTGTGGTTGGGTTTTGTTGTTGAAGAATTGATGAACCCCTTTGGATGAGTAACACTATTTTTTCATACTTTCAGAGTTGTTTCTCTTGTTCTTTCTCATCTGGATGAACTATGGCAGCTAATCTGTAGGAGTTCCTTTGATATAGATGGCCTGTTTATGTAGGCTTTCCCAGGGGTTGGTTGTAATAGCTATGCAGTGGGAGTGTGTGCTGGCTCACTACTTCCCGTGAGACTGGTGTGGCAGGGGTCTTGGGAGAATTAAGTTGCTCCTCCATGGTATGTCCTGGTGTCAGCAAATTACCTGTTGTGATGCACTGTTAGACCTCTAGGCCAGCAGGTGGCTCCTATGGGTAAGAGCCTGACTAGTGTCAAGGTGGATGGTCCTTGTTTACTGGGAGAAGCATTCTGCTATCTCAGCAATGAGCTCATCTGCTGAGTGTACAGTAGTCTGTGCTCCCAGTTCAACCTTGAGGAGAAAAGAACCAAGATGAGTGAGGCCAAGCTGTTCAGGCCCACCTATGGGACCATTGATGTCAGGCACAGGCACCCACTCTGAGGTAGAGTCTGGTGTGTGGCCTCTGAGTGCCCAGAGGTGTGCCTCAGCAAGGTGTTAGTAAACCTCTGCTGCCTCAAGTAGTCTGCTTGAGAAGGGGAGAGTGGCCTGAGGAGTGGGAGCTCTAGGTACCTGGGATATGTCTGGACACTGAGCAGAGAGAGCAGCACAGCACCAAGGACTCTGCCCCTGGGTAGAGGGATAGGTCAGGCTCTACTCCAGGTGATTGGGTGTATTAGGGTGTGGAGCACAGTGGGTCTTATGGCACAAGGATCTCTGCCAAGGAACAGTGGAGAGACTTAGGCTACTAATCCAGGTGTATAGAATTGTGGGCCACCTGGTCCTTAGTAGTGGGGAACACATTGTCCCAATAGACTTGATGGGCAGGCTGTGGTATCCTGCAATGATGCCTGTAGCTCGATTCCAGGTCACGGAGCTGACCTTGGTTTCAGGCCTCACTACCCTAGAGAAATCACAGGATCAGGAACTCTCCTGCTGCTCAGGCTGCTGATTCAAGTGCTGAAGGGTGAGGTCCCTCCTACCAGACTCCTGCCACTTAGACTGCTTTCCCAGTTGTGTAGGAATGGGGGGGCCCTCTTTTTCCTCAGTATTGTTGGGGCGCCCTATGCCAACTAGCTTAACAGTGAAGAGTTCCAGGTTGCAAAACTGACGTTGGCTGTAGGACTTTCTGTTCATGAGACTGTGACTACAGCAACTCTCCTTCTGCCCAGGATGCAGGTTTCAAAGTGTAGGTGTGGGGATCCCCTGCTAGGCTCCTGTTGTTTAGGCTGTTATTCTGGGTATTCCTTGGTATTGCTGTGCTTCCTTGGTGCGGTTGCCCAGGGGTGAGGTAGGGTGGGGCGCCCAGGCAGTGATACACAGAGACCCATTCCAGGTCGAAGATCTGACCCTGGCATCCTGTGTCTCAGGGAGGAAAATGTGGCTTTTGAGGGAGGAGTCTCCTGCGTACACAGGCTAGGATGAGCCCAGGTCCAGTTTCAAACCCTGGGAAATCTCCACACTCTTATCCAATTCCAGCTGTGGGAATTGGACAATTCTGTATGGGCAGAAACCAAAGTGCCTGTAGAGGTCACTGTTGCTGAACCAATAGATGCTGGTCAAAAATGGACCAATAGATGCTGGTCAAAAAAATCCTTGCCAACCTGGATTTGCTAGAACATCTATGGCTTTACAGGTGTCTTTCCCTCTACCGCCTCTTGGCCTCCCCCAAGAGTGCTCAGGAGAAACAGGGTGTTCTTGTGTGGCCTAAGGTAAACATATCTCAGAGGGGAGTTTTCAGTCCCATTCTGTGTTCCAGGGTCACACTTTTCTCTGTAGAATGCTGTTCTGGGAGCCATTTGCCCATCTTCTCCTCCCTGAGATCTGGGGTGCCATTCTGATGCATATCCATTTTCTTTCTTGCATTGGGGTTCACTGCAAGAAAACAGTTGGTATTTCCACACTATTTCACAATGTTCTATCAAGCGAGACATACTTAAAAGCCTCTGATCCATCATCTATAAGAGAACAGCACTAGGTCCTGTGCTGGCTACAGACCCAACTCAAACCGTTGGCCCTGCTTCCGTCCAAGGCATCTCATCCTGACTTGTGTTCCAGGTTAGGAGCTCAGCTGGCTGTGTCACATATCTCCCCTGTGCATTGATGACTCAACCCAGGGTCTCATCATCTAATCAGTCTCATTTATCTTTATCACTGACTAATATTTTATTGGATTGATATACCACAGTTTTTCATCCATTCCCTTATTGAAGGACATCTTGGTTTTTTCTAAGTTTTGGCAATTATGAATAAAACTGCTTTAAACGTTTGTGGGAAGGTTTTGCCGTGGGTATATGTTTCTAACTTATTTGAGTAAATATCAAGGAGCATGATTGCTGGATCATATGGTAAGAGCATGTTTAATTTTCTAAGAAACTGTCAAACTGTCAAGCTGTATAAGTTTGCATTTCCACTAACAATAAGTGAGAATACCTGTTGCACCATATACTTATTATTTGGTGTTGTCAGTGTTTTAAATTTTGGCCATTGTAATAAGTGTGTAGTGTTATCTTATTGTTGTTTCAATCTTTAATTTCCTTATGACATATTATGTTGAACCTCTTTTCATACACTTGTTTGCTGTCTGTATATCTTCTTAAGTAAAGCATCTTTTGCCTGTTTAAAAATTATGTTGTTAATTTTCCTATTGTTGAGTTTTAAGAGTCCCTTTTCAGATATGTCTTTTACAAATATTTCCTCTCAGTCTGTGGCTTGTTTTTCATTCTCTTGATAGTGTCTATCACAGAGTAGAAGTTTTTAATTTTAGTGAAATCTAGGTTATCAATTCTTTCCTTCATGGATCATGCCTTTGTTGTTTCATCTAAAAAGTTATTACCACACCCAAGGTTGTCTAGATTTTTTCCTGTTATCCTCTGGGAATTTTATAGTTTTGCATTTTACATTTAAGTCTATGATCTATTTTGAGTTAATTTTTGTGAAGGGTATAAGGTCTGTGTCTAAATTTATTTATTTATTTTTGCATGTGGATATCCAGTTGTTCAGTACCATTCGTTGAAAAGATGACCTCTTCTCTACTGAATAGCCTTTGCTCCTTTCTTAAAGATCTGTTGGCTTTATGTATGTGGGTCTATTTCTGAGCTTTCTATTCTATTCCATTGATCTGTTATTCTTTCACAACCCCTAAACTGTCTTAAATTAGTGTAACATTTTAATCAGTCTAATTGTGAATGTCAGTCCTCTAACTTTGTTCGTCTTCAATATTGTGTTATCTCTTCTAGGTCTTTTTGCCACTCCATGTAAACTTTAGAATCCGTTTGTCAATATCCATGAGATAACTTGCTAGGATTTTAATTGGAATTGTATTGAATTTATTGTCAAGTTGGGAAGAACTTACATCTTGACAATATTGAGTCTTCATATTCATAAACATGGACTATCTCTCCACTTATTTAGTTCTTTGATTTATTTCATCAGAGTTTTGTAGTTTTTCTTATATAGATCTTGAACATATTTAAAGATTTGCAGCTATGTATTTCATTTTGGGGTTACTAATGCATTATGTTTCT